TCAGGCATAATGCTATTCGGGCCAGATTCGCCTCAGGGTTGCTTTATCTTAAATCAAGCAAACACCCCCTTAAGGCGATAGGCGAGTAATGGTGTCTAAACTGCCTAGATCACACGGCAAGATAACATTGATAGACATATCACCAAAACACAAAATAGCTTTTGTTGGCGTCACTTTTTATAGAATCTGAGATCAATCATTCTTCTTCTTTTAGGAATCCCATGCAATATATTTGTGTCATTGTCCCAATTAATTATGAAAAAGCACTTTTTATTCGCCATGGAATTATCTATGACTTATTAGGAGTTTATCTAAGCATAGCGACAAGTTATCTAATGTACGTAACATGGCCAAATTCTGGCCGCTCTCGTAACGAAGATGCCCATCAAAAATAATATTCGTTTTTGTTTTGATAAGAATGGCGCTCCGTATAAGTTCAGATGAACTAACTTACTATTCTGAAGGAAGAAACCGCGACGGCGAATGAGAATTAATGGATAATTTTTAAGAAGGCTTGTAAGAGATATTGCTACCCTTTAGGAAGTGGAAAGTATGATTTAAAGACATGCACTTGAATGCTTGGATTACCGTCAATCTATACTATTGCTTCATACACCAGTCAAAATGCTTTTGCATATTATAAAATAAGTCGCGTATCCTTTCGTGCTTGGGCTTTCGCTGATCATAAAAATGAGTAATAAGTAAATCAAGCGACACGAGATAGATTCCTCACTTTGAAGAGGCGGCACCAAATGAGAGTGCAACATGGTGAATGTAGAGGTCTAGGCATTCCATATTTAAAATAGTTGCAAAATTGGCAGATTTATGCCTCAGTTGTTGAGATTTAGACGCACAAGAATAAATTTAATTGAGGGCTTTTCTCATTCTTGTTATTTATGACGTCCTAATTCACAAAAGGTCGGATCCTCCAGACTAAATTGCGTTTTAACTCAGCTTCTTGTGTTGATGAGTTTTATGCAAGAACGAAACTGATGTTTATTCTATGAGAATACTTATTTGCCTCCTTCAACTTATCTTGAAAGATTCACCTAACGGTCATAAGAGTCAACGAAATGCGTTTATTTATAACTCAGCAAATTAAGTTTGTTCCTTTTAAACTTTTTACAAAAAAAAATAAACTTATTGTTATTATTCTAAATGCTTCATTTAATTTCAGACTAAATTTAATTTCACATAGCATGGAGAAAAAAATATAGTAGCGTCCTGAATTTGAGGAACTTGAGAGTTGCTAGAGTCATGATGGTGATTAGTCAAAAAAGGAAGCGGTCAGAAACTGGATATGTCAAGTAAATGGATGAGTTTATCTTATGTGCTGTGAGAACAAAGTCAATTGTATTTATATGAATATAGGACTTGCCAACTGGAGCCAAGGATATATCTATTCTCCATTTATGGTAGGAAAACAAGAGGGGATTCTATTGACTATGTACATGAGGCAACACGACAATTTCAATTACAATATATTTGCTCAGAATAAATTTGGAATCATTACACGATGACTGTCTCTTCACAATAGTAACCATTTTCGTCTATTTTTTGCTTTTCATAACCAATATCCTATCCTTTTCATTTTTTCCACAGTGACTAATAAAAGAGCTAGGAGTTCAGTTAGCTTCTAAGCAACCAGAGCGGAAAAAAGATTTTATCAAAAATACCTTGTTTCAATATAATTTCTTAAAATATTTAGTGGCTTTTATGCTTTTTCTTTTATCCAGTTACTCACATATTATATGTTTGTACTATTTAATACAATATGTAGCTCAGAAATAGCTCCTCTACAAGGTTATGCAGAGGCACAGCAGATGCATCAGGATGCCTATAAAGCTGGCCAAAAGCCAGGCTTAGAAGGACTTGGCTACTCCGGGGTTGAGCCTGTACCACAGCCGGGTTTCGAGGAGGCGAGGCAAAATCTCGCAGGTACTGAAATAAATATGGAGGATAATGAGGAGTGGCGAAATCCTAATCAACCTTCCAGCAACATTGGTGAGGGCAGTGCTCTGATGCTTTCTCCACCGCCGGATATAAATCAGAATATCTACGGTACTTTTTATTAGAACACATGTTTCTTACTTACTTTAAATGAAATATGATGAATCCTGTATTCTTGCTTGCCTTAAATGTCAAGGAGTTGCTTAATTTGTTTAAACTTTGAAGCTGTTTAGAATCATGTGTCTACTACTACATGACTCATTTATCATTATCTCAATTTAATCACTTATGCACTCGTTAATAGTTTACAATTTGTTCGTTGTTATTGGTACCAACTTTGTGTGTTGAGATTTCCGAAATAGGCGCCTTTAGACAAGTTTCACTTATTTGCAATTGAAAATCTCTCTGCTCTACTATTAATTTAGTTGACTGTACCAAAACTCTAAGTATTATAGTTATCGATATTCTTCGAATATTATCTCGTTCATGTCTACCAGTAAAACCCAAAGAAGCCAATTAACATATACATTAAAGATAACATCATTATGTATATTTTGTTGGTAAGTATGATTTCGAGACAACATTTAATACAACTGATTGTTATAGCACATATAACTTTACTTCATCGACAATCCCATCAAAGAATGCGATATTAAAAAATGACTTACCTTCTTTGAAATGTGCATCCTTCCTGTGATCCAAGAGCAAATGTAAAGTAGTGGTTAACATGTCGAGGTTACATGCTGCACTATTCTGGTTTGAGTCCCGCTGGAGGTGTTGCTAAGACCTATGCGAGGTCGAAACTGCAGGTCATTCTGGACGAGAACACCATTTGGAAAAGCAAAACTATGTGAAATTCAATGGAAAGTCAGCCCTACTCATATCATTGTGGGAAAATGCAACTGCCAGTCACCCTGTCACCTTAGACAAAATAGCTTGAATAGATCTCCTATAAGATCACTATTTCCTTTCCAACCATTGCTTTTCCATTCATTTTGTTGAATTATCTTATGCAAACTAAAATTATTACAATTGTTCTTTCCATTATTCCTTGAGGTCCTCTTTACTCAGCACTTAATCATATAAGCCTATAATGGAGTCTGATATATAGCTTTTATTTGCGAAGGTGTTTCAATTATATATTCTTTATTATTTTAATAAACCTAACATCCGACTAGATTCAGGTAACCACTCTCATCGTATCTTCACGTGAATTCAGATTTGTCCAGCTTCTGCAGTTCTTTTTTGAATCCAATGAGCAATAGACGATAAATTCCTATAATTACACTTTTTATTACTATACGAATCCTTTCATCTAGGATTGTTTTAGTATGTTTTTAATTACTATGAATCAGAGGGTTTAGCTTAGCAATCCACAATGGAAGGCAGAGCGCCTGTAAACCAATAGCCAGTATATTTTTATGCTGTTTACAAGGGCATGACTTCCGAGCAAAAAAAACCTAGGATTCATTTCGTTTGTTTGTAAAGCCTTTCTGGCTCTGATAAATCCGTTAAACTTCTAAATTTTCTTGTCTGTAATTTCTCTGGAGGCGAAGTACCTAGGAATCTTTTCTCGTGAACAGAAATCTTTTAAGCTAACGAACTATTTACCTTCAGACCCAAATCTCAGATGGGTAAAAAGCGATAGTGGACTGACAGTTGGTGGGCAATTTTATCCCTACCCTCTAAATAATGTTTTCAGTATTATTTGGTACTAAGATATATTTTTTAGCCCTTATTGGTGATACTTGAAAAAAAAACGGATTCATTTTATACAAAAAAGCATAATTTTTAAGGGCTATGTTCTATTTTGCCTTGAAATATTCTTCACATTATGTGGATCACCCCTGTTCTACGCTTTAATCTTTTACTAGAACGAATAAGAGTCACAGATAAGAGACATGTTGTGTTTACAATTTATTTCTGATTTTATGATTTCCGTCAAAACAAAGTCTAGACAGCCAACCTTTCATAATAGGCACAATGCTAGTCCTTTTGCTGAAGAGACAATGTGTCTTCAGGGAACCAAGCTTCTCTTACCAAAATATTCGGATGCAAGACTAAAGATGTTAGAGTAAACATTATATC